CGCTATACACCACTAGATTCCCTGAACCATCTGGAACTATGAGGACTGGTGCTGTCACCAACCTCTCCTTGAGTTCCTGGAAGCTTTGTTCGCAAGCTGATGTCCACACAAAAGGCTTGCCTTTCTTAGTTAACTGAGTTAGCACCGAAGTTATCTTGGAGAAATCCTGGACGAACCTTCTGTAATAACCAGCTAGTCCTAGAAAACTCCGTACTTTAGTGACTGTGGTCGGTCTTCGCCACTTCATCACGCCTCTATCTTAGCTGGGTCCACTGTGAGTCCTCTACTTGACATCACATGACCCAAAAACGCTACCTCAGACAGCCAAAACTCACACTTGGAAAACTTGGTGTACAGTCGCTGTGTTCTCAGTACGGTCAGAACTTGTCTCAAATGCCCTTCGTGCTCTGCTTCTGACTTAGAGTACACCAGAATGTCATCAATAAACACTATAAAAAAAGTGTCTAAGAATTCCTTAAACACCCTATTCATTAGTTTCATGAAGATGGCTGGTGCATTGGTAAGTCCAAAGGACATGACGAGAAATTCATAATGTCCATAGTGACTTCTGAAAGCTGTTTTGGGTGTATCTTCTTCTCTTATTCTCAATTAATGATATCCTGACCTCAAGTCAATTTTAGAGAATACCGTTGCTGCCTGCAATTGATCAAACAAGTCGTTGATCCTCGGGAGGGGGTACTTATTCTTTATGGTGACCTTATTCAGTTCTCTATAGTCTATACACAGGCGTAGGGATCCATCCTTCTTCTTGACAAACAGAACAAGGGCTCCCTAGGGCGATACACTGGGTCGTATGAAACCCTTATCCAATAGCTCCTGTAACTGTTCCTTCAATTCCCTAAGTTCCGTAGGTGCCATTCTGTAGGGTGCCTTGGAGATCGGCGCAATTCCTGGTTCTAGGTCGATCCCGAAGTCAACTTTCTAATAGGGGCAAACTTGGCAAATCCTCAGGAAAAATATCAATGAATTTCCTGACGATGTGTACTGACTTGAGTGTCTGTTCATTACTGTGATCAAGGGTCACACTGGCTAAAAATGCGCTTGCACCACCGTGGATCATCTTTCTAGCCTTTAGTGCAGTTATGATGCTTAGGGTTCTTTTGGAAGTGGCTCCCTTATATGTAAAACTATCCCTTGACGGGAGTTTGAGAGTAACTATTCAAGTTTCACAATTTATTAGAGCGCGATTCTCGCCTAGCCAATCCATCCCCAAAATGACATCAAAGTCTTGCATGTTTAATACTATTAACACAGCTTCTATGACACGACCCGACACTGTCACACTACCTCCCTTAACTCTATGAGTAGCCATTAATAACTCGTGAGCAGGGGTGGATACTGATAGAATGGTCTCTAAAGGTTCTTTTTCTAGGTGCGCTAAGTCAATAAATTCCTCAGACATAAACGAGTGTGTAAAACCCGAATCAAAGAGTACAAAAGCCAAATGACCAAAGACGAGTAGTGTACTTGTAACGATTGCGTCAGGTGCGTCGGCCTGCCTACCTGTGGTTGCATGTGCTACAGTTCGCCCATGCTGCTGTTGGGCACCTCAGCCCCTTTGATTTTGTATTGTAGGTCGATTAGTGTTCTAATCTCTCGTTTGAGTTCAGTTCGTTGAATAGTGCCCTGTTTGGCCATAACTAAAACATGCATTAGTTCCAGCACGACATTCCCCCTTGTGAGGGTGCTGACACTAAGGGCAATTAGTCCTATTCTGTACTAGGGCTCTCCCGCGATTGACAGCACCACCATGAGGTGGTCTGCCAGTCCTGGGATAGTTCTGATTTATCTATTTTCCCTGGACTGCGATTTGGGTTTTTTGGGCTAGCCCTGCTTGTAATCTGTCAGTACGAGGCGCATCAATGAGGGTAGCCATCTTGAGAGCTGCTATATAGTCTGTGGATGACTGTGATGCCACATAACCTCTAATGCTCTCCCTTAGGTCGGCGATAAAACGTTCAGCCTTAAGCTCTTCAATACTAACATATACAGGGGAGAATCTAACCAATCTATTGAATTCCTGATCATAATCCTCCACAGATAGGTCACCCTGTTTGAGTTCATGAAATGCTGCTTGCAGCTTCATTCTAGCAGCGACTCGATAGTATTTGCGGAGGTAGGCCTCTTTGAACTGACACCAAGAAATAGGCTCCCCAAGCGGTGCAATCATTTTCTTAGCACCCTTCCACCATAAATGAGCCTCTCCTTCCAACATATACGTTCCGCAATGAACCTGATATTCCAGCGGACAGTTCATGTAAAAGAAGGCTTTTTCCACAGCCTCGGGCCAATTTTCTGCTACAATGGGATCAATTTTGCCACTTTCAAAGGAAGGCGGTGTTTACCTCTGGAAGTCCTTAAGATAACGAGCCTCTATGGTCATAGTTCCAGAGTCTCTGTTCCCCAGCAAAACTGTCTGTTGCATCACTGCCTGTTGCATTGCTGTTTGCAATGTTGTCTGTTGCAGCGTTGCTTGTTGTATTGCCTGTTGCATTGTAGCCTAGTTAGCCACCAATGTTAGCATAAACTGAGCCATTTGAGCCTGGTTTTCCATAGAGGTTAACATAAATGACTGTAGTACATCTGTAGTGAGGTTAGTTGTTGGCGGCCTAGGTGGAACATCCACGTTATTGGTGGGCATTGGTGGGACCGCTTCAGGAGGAGGAGCAGTAGAGTCTGCGTCTGGTAATTCTTGAGTCACTGCTTTCTTTTGACTCATTCCTGACCTTGGTGCCCGTGGTATAGGACATTCAAACAATTGGGGTATTTCATCAACCTCCTCTTGAGGTTCAGGTACAGGTTGTTCTGCCTCAGGTGACGGGACATCAGTGTCCTGTGCGACTCTTCTTCTTCCCCTTCTAGGTCCAGTCCCGAGATAGGTTCTACTCCTCTTAGGTGCCATTTAGCTACCATAATAAAGAATTTGCGGTTACATTTAGTTCAAGGTTCAAACTCTAGGAAATGTGCAGTACAATACAAAGAGAACGGTCAAGAAAAATTTTCTACTTAATATCTTATCTCTTAATTTCGCAATTCAAATTTGTGAGACTGACTGGTTGCGAGTGGCATGTGATTGATGGGCGCGTCACAGAGGATACGACTCTCTAACCTAAGTGTCTACAGGACCTATGTCCTGGTGCTCCAATACCAAATTTTGTCACGACTCGAAATAAATAACCTCAAGCCGTGACTAACAATGACTATGACATGTAGTGTGCATGCGAGAAATTCAAGGAAAACATAATTTCAGAAGTATTTCATTTATTTCGTAAGAAAAATGTTTCATTACTAAAAGACATGTGTCTAGGTAAAAACAAGAAGGGAAACATGAAAGACAAAGTGTACTATTTAGTAAAACTAGACTGATGCCTCGGGACACGCTTCCTCTGTGACAACCCACATCGATTAATGCACCCTCTCTTGACTCGACGCCTCACGTACTTGAAAAAAAAAGGTATAGCAAGAATGAGTATAAAAATTATACTCAGTAAGCCTCCTACTTGTAGGCTCTTATCGCATCCTAATCTTAACAAACCCCCACGGACTCTACTTTAGCTTTAAGACATCTGGTTTTCGTTTTAACACCTTGGAACTTGCCCCTCGCGATTTCTTGATCCTTTGTCCTTTCGTTTGAAGATTCTTAAGAGCTCCCTTATGTTGACTTGTGTAATGACTGGTGCCCTACGAGTAGCTACCTCGACATGACTCTGAGACTATCTGGTAACTTACCTAGGAAGTGAGCTACAACCCCCTAGGCCCATCACAGTCTCCCTTGTCGGGGAGAGCTACCCCCCTTAACCCATCCAGCTAAATGGTCTATATGACGTGGCCACACGTTTTCCATGCTAAAACGGCTAAGAGCAGTCGGATTCTGATCAGGAACCCTCTGGTCCCCCACGAAGCTATGACACCAATCACACACCAGTAGCCTAAGGGTACTCTAGTGAGGCTTCGTATGCTGTGGTGGTCTGTTGCTCTATTAGGGAAAGGATTAGGTCTATACCTTAGTGTCTTCTTACTCTAACCAAGAATTCCTAAACTTAATCATAAATGCGAGTCATGAAAACTAATTGAGTACGTACATAAATATCATCCAAAGTCATCAAACATGTTTCATGCAAAGTAAACATACAAGCTCAACGGGGCGATAACATCCATTAACTCTCGGAGTGCAGAGTTCACAATTTTCCATCCTCCTTTTAGCATGAAAATATACATATACATAACAAGCGGAAACTTAAAGCATAACAGCAGTACTCAGGTAATTCTCATAATAATCATACAACATAATAATCCATACCATACATCTTGCTTTTAAAAATCAATTGCCTACGATCAATAACGGAAAACTATAACCTAAGACAATTAAACTAGCATGCATGCATTCCAAGCGATTCCTACAAGTATTACTTCCTAAAATTCCGTGTGGTGACTTACTTGGATGATGCGTGCCCTAACGCAGCGTTTCCACACAATTGGTGTATCAAAAGGCAGGGATTTTCCTCAATTAGGTCCTATTTCATATAAAATGGAGTTAGGATTGGAATCAGGAGGAAAATAGGGAAAAAAGAAGTCGAACGGTAAAAAATAAGCTTACACGCGCTTCCACGCGCTAGCCATACGCTAGGGTGCAACCACTCGCAGATTCCACGCGCGAGTGTCACACGCCTAGGGTTTTCTATAGTCGCGGGTCACCGGTTCGGTTCGAAAACAGTAGTTCGGGTGGACCGCGGGTCGTCGGTTCGGTTCAGTTCGCTGCGCGGGTACCGGTTCAGTCGAGGGATGTGGGTTGAGTTGCGTTGCCGGGGACGCGTGTCGCAGGGAGGCTAGAGTCACGTTTTCCTAGGCGGCGTTCGACGCGTGTCCGAAGGTGGTTGGCGCACGCGGTCCTCTAGCCAGTTGACACGTGGCACGCCGACGGCTTCTTTCTCCTCCTAGTAGAAAAGCAAGGTTTCCCATTAGTTTTCCAAGGTACTTTTCATTTTCTATCTCTCGATTCTTAATCCAAACAGTAATGGTTTCTTCAACAAAGTTTTAGATCATACTTCAACCTACGTGTCAATATTTTTTTCTTGATTTTTACTTAGTCATACGATGAGTTATGAGCGTCGGAAAGAGGTCTGGTAACATTCTTACAGTTCTTGGAAAGATTCTCAGATCTCGATGTTTCGTTCGATTTTCTCACCAAAATCAGTGGCGGATCTTCCCTGGATGAAGGTAGTAAAGTTAAACACTTTACTCCCGAACAAAGATCTTAGATCTGAAAAGTATAGTTCGAAATCTTACCTTGCGGGTTTTCTTTCTGTTCTTGACGAAAGAGGAGGAAATCTCAACAACACGAGTTCTTATTTCACTCCAAGAAGGACTCCAGAGTGTAGGTCTTAGTAGGGAATTGATTCCGTCGGTGACTCTCCGACGAAAACTCCGGCTATTTAGTTTTCTCTCTCAAACTTTCTCTCAATCCTTCTCTCTCACACTTCTTTCTTTTGCAGGAATTCTGTGGAGAACCCTCAAGACCCCTATAATGGGCTGAGGGGTAAAATGTCCATTTTGCCCCTTGGGCTTTAACCGACCTTTTTTTTTTTTTTTTTTGGGTATTACAATGACTCTATGACCTTCTAGAATAACTTTGTTGCTGTGATGGGTCCATAAATTTATAAATGCACGTTACAACTTATGCTTTAAGGAATTATGAACCTTAGAAACTTAAAAGATTGAGAACCAGAAACAATTCCATGTATACACCATAACTACCAAAGTAAGAAGAATGCTAGGTACCACTCAAGGGTAAGGGATCAAAGTCCCCAAACTCAAAAACTCAAAATGCTACTCTAATCATGTCCAATTGTGACCTATGACCTCCCACCACGCGATGCTTTTAGAGGCCCATGTTTTCCTCTTTGAGGTGGGATACCATGCACCATGTTTTCATTGTAGGATGTCATTTTTTGCCTCATGTTTGCCCCACCTAGATGAGATGCCCTGCACCATGTTATGGTTATCCAAAGATTTGCAGGATGCCATGTTCATGTATGCACTGATCACATGATCTTTGTGGTCTATCATGGGGAGTAATCTAGGGCCACGATGAAATTAGAAGAGAGTAAGTTATCTTAGCCACGAATCAAGAACCTCCTAAGACCTCCCACGGTACAACATGTTCATGACTTAAAGCTACGCTACTTGGAATGCATGAAGCCTTGAGAGTAGGTTTTAAGACTATGCCGCTTGGAACGCATGAAGTTTTTGGCATAGGTTTTCAGACCGTATCGAAGAGCACGCCCTAAGATGCAGGTTCAGACTACGTCACTTGAAACGCATGAAGTCTTGGATATAGGTTAAGGACTGTATCGCTTGGAATGCATGAAGCCTTGAACACAGGTTGTCAAGTTCATGACTAGTACCGTAAATCCTAGGGGTTGTGTCTTGGAGAACGAATCAAGAACATAACAAGAACCTAGAAAGTAACAAGAACAAGATGAAGATCAAGGACTAGAATATGGATCAAGATCCAAGTTCTAAGGATAAGAACCAAGAATCAAGAACCATGGTACTATGACCCTTAGAGAATAACCAAGGTTTCAAAATCCAAGGACCAAGGTCCTCAGAATAGATTAGGATAAGAACCCCAAGTCAAGAACAGAACTAAGAGGCCTAAGTACTTACAACAAAAAATCGGAATAAAACAAGAAAGAGTGTGGTACTCTAGTATATCAAGGATACGATTAATAGCTTACAGGTAGGCTACTTACTGAGTTTTTGTACCCATTCCTTATTTTTCATTTTTTTTTCAGGTAATAAAGAGCTGGTCGAGGTTGGGAGCGGACTGTAGAGCAGGTGCCATAGAAAAGCCTCACCCGTCGTCCTTCAACCCTTTTTGTTTTAAAATGTTTTGTGTCGTTCCTTATTTTATGTTTTAACTGTTGTGTCGTGTTTTAATTACTCATGTATGAAAACTATTTAGTTTTAATGAATACGGTTTGTTTTATTTCGCAAAAAATTTACCCATGTTTTTGGAGTCATCGAGTCAGCCCGGTCCTTAGACATTGACCCTCTTGTGACCATGTCATGTCATTTATGGACTCTGTACTGGATAGTGGGTGCATAATTCAATCTCTAACACGGGTTTGGGCATAAAATCGATACACCCATGCTGTCTGGTACTATCTTTGAAAGACCCATTTTAAAGGAAGTCATCTGGGACACTTGTCTCGAAACACTCACCCTAACCATGAGACATGCATGTGTCACAGGGTAGCTCGCTTAGGCCACATAGCCTAGGGGTGGTGAAGAGCTGACACCATGCCTCCCCCGAAGGTACATTTTGAGCCATTTTCAAAATGGCGGGTGTAAACATGGTTTTGGCGAACGGACATACGGTGTCGTGGAGTGTTCGTCCAGTGTCCGATTGACACCAAATTTGGCCAGCTTTCATATTTTATATAGACGTAATTGACTCTAGAACCGCATGTCTAAATTTTCTTCAAAACTCCGACTCTCGAGGATAAGGTCCAGGGCCCTACCCAGTCCTTTAACAAGCTTATCTTTGACACACATGTCTACTCGTGGTCTATATCTTTCTTATATCTCATCTTCTCTTCAATGCCTACTCTGTGTGGAGTGTTAGATGATGTACCATCTTTTTTTTTTTCGCATCATGGCACTCGTCTAGGCCCTCACGTGACCGGATGGGCGGTACTTGAGGGTCAACTGTTTCGCTTATCACATTGTGACGATCACAACCTACTCTCTTCGTAGTAATGTTGTGACACTCAATATCACAGTACTATACATTTATGATCTAAACTTCCAATATCTAAATTATTTATCAGTGTTTACAGTAGAGTTGGAACATTCTCATCAAACCATGTGCAGAAGAAATTAATAAAATAATACCAAAAAATAAAAGTAAAAATCATAAGCGTTTACCATGCTTGTGAGTAATTTATAACAACAACAAATAGTCGAAGAAAATTATCATTAATATTTTTGTACTTTTCTAGATTCTGATTAATCAACAATGAAGAGATGCAAAACTGCTTTAAAATATGTGAAAATCATATAGATGATATTGAGAGAGTATTGAAGGAGAGAGAGAATTAATGAATGAGATTTTTTTTTCTTTTGTCAGGTTTTTGTTATTGTTCCGAGAATTTAAGCTTTTTAAGTATTGTTCTTGAAAATCAAAATCAAATCAATATAGATTCTAAGTTATTAACTTTGGTTCTGATCTAATGAGTTTAGTTTTGAGGTTTTAGTTTTGAGTACTTAGTACTGAGAATTTGGATCTTAGATCCTTCTTCTAGTTCTTATCTTTGGTTCTTAGTTTTTGTCATTGACCTTCATTTGTGTTCTCGATTCTTGTGTTTGGTTTTTATTTCTTGAGTAGTACCTAGCTTTAAGTCTTGTGTAATGCTAGTTTAGGATATGGGTGTGTTGTAAACTTACTTGATCGTGATTACTTAAAAATTAAAAGCTACCAAAAGCTTATCTTAAGGCAACATCTTTATCACTTGAAAATGAAGAGTTAACCTTGAGCTTATGTAACACCCGACTCTAACACATACATAGCTCTCACTTAAACGGTCTTAATTTTGAAACTTTTGAGGTTTTGTTAGGGATCTGAGTGAATCTCAAATCAATGCATCAGGGAAAAATGCTCGGTATGCCTGGAGAAACCTAAATTTTTTTTTAAGAAATAATGATTAAATTGAGAAAATTTTGGGTCAAACTCATTGGAGAGAAATATTACTTGCCCCAACATGCTACTTTCAGGGGTATGGCTGACCTAATAAGAAAAGAAAAGAAAAGAAGGAAAGGAGGAAAGAAGAGAGAGGAGGGAGAGTTAGGGTTTTGTGGTAGGAGGAAGAAGAAGATAACAAAGAAAATGCTCTCACTTGGAGGATGAGTTGGCCAAACGTTTCTCTCTAAATCTACTAAAAGGATCAAGGAGAATCAGTATGGGTTGTTGGATCATCTGATTTTGTCAAGAAACAAGCAAGAACAGAAGGTTAGTCCCCACGTCTTTTGTTTTCCAATTTTGCTTCAAGATAGGAGGGTTTCCGGTGCTTTTAGGTCTTAATATTTGGTTATGATGATCCAGAGAAGGATTCTTGCTAGTTTGATTTCTAGGTAAGAAACTATATTTTTCTTTTAAGTTTGAATTCAATTATTAAGGTCTATTGTGTGTCTAAAAGATTCAAGAGGTGGATTAGAGATCTATGCTTTTTTCGTGAAATAATCTAGTCATTTCGAGTTACAGATTGGAAATAAAATATAAAGTTAATAGGTTGAAGGGGAATTTGAAAACTAAATTGTATGTAGGAGTAATCAACCATGGACACATGGCAGCCGACCACGGGAGAGACACTGTAATAATCCAAAAAAGAAAATATATATATGTATAATGTATTTTGGAATTAAAGTTTTGTGTTTAACGATAATAATAATAATCAAAAATCAAAATCAGTGAATAGATATTAAAGAGAGAGAAAAAAAAAAAAAAAAAAAAAAGACAGCAGCAGCTTCAAGCTGCTGCCATGGAGAAAGAAGGAATTGATAGATGGCTTAAGGAGGTAAAGAAAGAAAGCTGGGAGCGTTTGGGCGTGAAAGAGTCGTATGAGTTTGTGGAGTAAAATTATAAGGGTTGGAGAGTTGTGCTATGGGATAAAAACGAGGAACTGAAGAAAAGGGGAAAAAAAAAAAAAAAAGACAGCAGCAGCTTCAAGCTGCTGCCATGGAGAAAGAAGGAATTGATAGATGGCTTAAGGAGGTAAAGAAAGAAAGCTGGGAGCGTTTGGGCGTGAAAGAGTCGTATGAGTTTGTGGAGTAAAATTATAAGGGTTGGAGAGTTGTGCTATGGGATAAAAACGAGGAACTGAAGAAAAGGGGAAAAAAAAAAAAAAAAGACAGCAGCAGCTTCAAGCTGCTGCCATGGAGAAAGAAGGAATTGATAGATGGCTTAAGGAGGTAAAGAAAGAAAGCTGGGAGCGTTTGGGCGTGAAAGAGTCGTATGAGTTTGTGGAGTAAAATTATAAGGGTTGGAGAGTTGTGCTATGGGATAAAAACGAGGAACTGAAGAAAAGGGGAAAAAAAAAAAAAAAAGACAGCAGCAGCTTCAAGCTGCTGCCATGGAGAAAGAAGGAATTGATAGATGGCTTAAGGAGGTAAAGAAAGAAAGCTGGGAGCGTTTGGGCGTGAAAGAGTCGTATGAGTTTGTGGAGTAAAATTATAAGGGTTGGAGAGTTGTGCTATGGGATAAAAACGAGGAACTGAAGAAAAGGGGAAAAAAAAAAAAAAAAGACAGCAGCAGCTTCAAGCTGCTGCCATGGAGAAAGAAGGAATTGATAGATGGCTTAAGGAGGTAAAGAAAGAAAGCTGGGAGCGTTTGGGCGTGAAAGAGTCGTATGAGTTTGTGGAGTAAAATTATAAGGGTTGGAGAGTTGTGCTATGGG